GGAGACCTCCTTTGGGAGGATCTCTTATATATACAATTTGTATGTACTATAATTGTAATAAAAATCCACTTTGACCGGCATATGACTTGGATGGTGTATGGGGGGATCCCTGGGGTATAGAGGACAAAGCTGCTAAACCCACACCTAAAGCCAGGATGATTTTCAATGAGTGGGGGTCTACTAGGCCTCCATCTAAGTACTTCCTAGTTAATATACATTCCATAAGAAGTAATTCCCATCAACAGAACATGCATACCAATGAAATATAACCATTCGGGTCCAAAATAAAAGGAGTCATAGAAGTAGGAATGCTAGCAGACCAGCTGCAATGCGGAAGACCTACTTAGGGCTTAATCCTCAGTTGGATTCTTTATTTTTCACAAATTCTTCCCCCATCTAAATTGCCCCCAGTCGACAAGGATATCTATAGAAAACCCCACCCTCCAGGGAGAGCCTGACGGTTAGGTTAGGTCCTAACCTAAAACCTTCTATCTTTGTACATAATAGTGCGATTTCTTCCTTTCACAAGATATGCACTCCATTTTAATTACACGGCGAATTCGTTCAGGTACCGTGCGCTATAAAATGGAGGAAACGTTCGAGGTGAATGTCGAAAGAAAAACATCGGCGTTGTTTTAATAAAATCGATATCGGTAAACGGTCGAACTTGGACTTAATAGAGGTTTGTTTACCTCGGCTCAATGAAAACGAGGAATCTCCATTGTTGAATACAATGGTCACTTTCACTGGTTTCAAAACCGACGAACGTCGATTCATGCGCGATACGATACATGAAGTTACACCAGCTAAGAATTTCAATGACTTTCCGCACCTCGAACATCATTAATCGTTCTCAGTGCTAAGGCATAACATTGTTACACACGTGGTTAGTTTTGTTTTTTCATTTAGAAATTCCATAGCAACAAATTAAGTTTTATATAACGAAAGATAAATTGAGCCAAGATTACCGTGAAGATTCGAAAGATCGAATAGGAATCTACTTACTCACCTGGTCATAGAAACTCAGCATTTCCGGTGTTCACGCTTCCGGCACAATTAGTCACGGCTACAGCTCTAGCGATTAGAATCAATTTACCGTGAATTCACTAAGTAAAAATAGATGTGGTGATGAAAATGCGAAGTGTACATGTGGAAAACAAAAGCGTGCCACTTTCGATAAAGAAACTTTTCTTGCTCGAACAAATTCCAATGAATCGATTAGATTCACGTGTATTACAATTGCAAAAACTAAAGAAGAAATCGTAGAAGTTGCAATGAAATCGAATCGTGTGGCAGCAACTTAAGGCAGCATTTCGTACCAACAATAATTTGTTGGCATATCATGCTGAATGATCCATATCTCCCTGTTTTACTGCAAGTATATCTGATCTACATTACCAATCTCGAAAATACTGCAAAATAACAACGAAAGACAATAAATCAACTTGTCTGCCCTACGTCATGTTTACTTTCGCCACGGGTGCCGTTTAGACGACTTTCATCCCGGCCCAACGCATTCCCCGGGTGACGGAAACAAGAAAGAGGAAAGCCAGGCCGAGGAAGCAAAGAAATGAAGAAAAAAGCAACAGGTCGATTCGGAAGAGAAGAGAGAGGTGTGGTGTAGGAAGTGGTACAGCATTGCCGGAGGGAAGGACGTCGAATCTAGGTTACAATCGTGTTCCTCTCCTTGTGGCTTCGTGGATATGTAGGCATGTCAGTGGTTCCCATCGATGGTTCGATGGAAATTTGTTCGAAAATCATTTGTTTTACCTGTAATTGATGATAGGTACAAGAATTGAAAGAAAGTATTAATGACATGCTTTCGTTGACATGTCAGGCATGTGCAACATTCCTCCAGCACTAACGGCATATCAGTTAAAATTGGATCCCTATCACTGATCCGTGCAAAATTTGGGAAAACGTTTCTAATAAAAGTTGTTCAGTTTAGTAAGAGCTATCTGAATATGCCAATGAAAGCCAAATACAATAAGATACAAGATGGAGAAATATTCCAGAAGAAGCATATCACATAGAACGTTTGCAAATTTTTTTGAAATTTGATTCGCCAATTGCGAGTCACTGGGACACAAGATCGCAGCAATGCTGGCGCCGCGGTTACACTCTCGCTTTCGAAATAATAATTATTTAATACCCGAAGCCACGGTGAAATGCGAGCGACACTATACCGGTTTTCGGCCAACACGAGCCATCCTGCGCCCCTTTTTAATCTTTTTCTCTCTTTCCTGGGACCTGCTTTCGAAGCAACCACCAGGCCCCCGGTAATAATGAAAGCATTTTCGAAAATGCGATCCTCGGTCAACGGATATTAAAACTGGATTTTACGTAACGGGACCTCTCCGGCGTCGATAAACATCCACGACGTGTAATCTCTAGCGGTTTTTACCAGTTCACAAAATTATGCAACAATTCTGCCTCCTCGCCTCCTTCAAGGACCAATATCTGCACCTCCCCACATCAGGAATGTATGAAGTACCATGTCCGACACTTCGGGAGGAGTGTGAACAGAGGTCTCAGGGTATATGGAGGGTACGCCAGATTACAGTCAGCCACAGGACATAAGAGACTCATCACTCAAACTAAAATATTAGGCAAATTTTAGGATTAGAGCCTAATTGTTGGACTCGATTTACATTAGGCTAAGAGCCAGGACTAGTAGACCTAGATTCTCCCCTCAGGTAGGGCTATTAAGCCCTAGCTCCTTTGAACCCACAAGGATAATGAATAACCCAAACATCGACAGGTATAGTGGGGGCCAACAGTGCAGCTGTTATTGTTTACATTCCGCAACACTTTCTCTTCCACCATTCGCCTTCAATCTTAGGGGAACCCTGGGAGAAATGAGGCGCAGGCCAAAAAGACCCCCCAGGAAAGCCCAATTTGCTGCGGCTGCCTGTGCCCTATAGGGACACTCAGGCTTGAGTGGCGCTAAAGGGACTGTTGTGATCCCTTTTGAGTGGATGATCACTAACAAAAGATCTAGTAATATATCACTCTAAAAAGCCATTTAGATTGGCGTATAGGACTTGGGTGACCTCCCTGGGGGTGTGGGACACAGTGCTGCTGAAGACCATTAGGAGACACTATGATTACTTAGGGTTGGGGGTCTAATTAGGTCTTCTATATACACTGACAAGTTCAAAAAGAAGTAATTCCAACCAATGGCATACCCATACCTGGGTAGGACCCTGTAGGCCCAAGCAATATAGGGCAAGGAGGTCCTACCAACTACTCCAGTACTTCAGGTCCTATATATTATGCCTAGTTTGTACGACAGGTCATGAATTAATAATTATTAATTCTTAGGATCAATACACATCACAATAATTGAATGTTGCCATAGCGGAAGGGTTCAGTGACGGGGTACTTGACACGAGGTTCACGAATTTCATCTCGGATGAGTTTCCATCGATTTTATACGCAGCTGCCGACGAGAAATGCTGAAGAACAGGTTATCGTGCAACATTCCACGCGAACACCGACCTTATTCATCGTTCACTACCGTGATACAGGTTCCCAAGCTACCGTTACTTTTTTATCCTGAAATTCCTCTTTGTTCCGCATTTTTCAACCCGCTTACACGTAATTCGCGCGAGGATAATAATGAAACCTCTCACGAACCAATAGAAAGTAGCGATTTGTGCTCCCTGGATTTTCTAATAAATGAAGCAATTATTTGCAATTCCAAATGTGGAGATTAGAACCTTCGGATTATTCATGAAAATTCAAGAATAATCAAAGCAAAGAGGAATCAAGTAATCATTATCTGCTGTATACGTGTAAGCTAACGATCGAGTAGATGTAATAAACAGCCTTGAATATTTTTCACGAATTAATATGACATCGGATCAAGGTTCTTCAGATCTCGATAACCGTCATTTCTCCCCACCAACAGTTATGGGAACTGAACTGGGTTCCCTCCTTTCTGCGAACATTTAGTAACAATTTGATCTTCTAAGTGGTGAGATTCCTTCGTGTAACGAGTCCATTTAATCATTTAATCATCCTCTCATCAGTTTCTCCTCAGTAGTGTATTGTGAAAATCTTTCCTGTGAACCGAGGTATTCTTCGTTTAATTTTCAAATAACACTGTATAGTGGAAATATTTTTGGTAATTATCGATATCTCGTCAACCCCACTGATTTCGCTCGTTTTTTAATATATTGTTGGGATGATGATTCTGAGCAACTTTTTCGAGATATTTGCAAAAGAAAGTTGCTACTATTACAGTGAATTCTGCGTATACCTACAGGTCCATGGCAGTGTGTGCGTCAGTATGGGATAGCTGGTTCTGTAAACACAGCATGGTACCCGTCAAGCAATATACATAACGGGTGGAACTTAAAAATTCAATATTAATTTAACCTAACCTAACCGATTTCTCGTGTCGAACTTGAAAACAAACGCGAAACAAGGAGGGAATTCGCGAAAACAAGTTTACATAACAGCCGAATGGTAATTAATAGCAGGATGAGAAATGTCTGACACGTGACGTAGCTTTCTACTTAAAAGTGCGATCACGGTTGTAATTATCAGCAATAATTGTTGCGGGAGAAAAAAAATGAATCATACGGGAGAAAGAAGGCTTTCGTTTTTATTGCGATACCCTTTTTGCAGCTGTAGCTTTTGATAAACATTAACAGTTCGTCGATTTCAGCCGGCAATTCTTTACCTCTATATGATCCCATAATTTTGATTTTTTATAATTTTATTCCAGTATTACTGGAGATGAAAATCATGATATAGGCTTCTCTTGATTAAAGGGAAGGATAGGGAGAGCAGCCTCCCACTATTTTCTTTCAGTCTTGGGAGGACCGAGAGGGGCCCGAATGGTGGGGGAATCAAATGAGAGGCCCAAATAGTGGGAGGGCAAATGGTGGGAGTCTTCTCCCTTATCTTCATCCTTAACCAAGAATAACCTACCTTGCACCCAACTGTACATTTCGCACTGTGTTCAATTGCTTCCTTGTGATTAATTTCAGGATGAGGTGGAAGAAGCAAGGAGTCACCGAGGGCGAAGGAGCATCGATTCTGCTACTCGTCGCATTGGCTCCTGTTATCTGTGCCGCTGGAATCCTGGACCCTTGGCAGTGGGCGCGTAGTGATCGTATCGAGGTCAACATTCCTTGGTTGCCATGTAATTATTTCATGAGATCGTTATCTTACACTTGGCTGCAACTTACAAGGAGAACTACCCAAGTGTTGTACTCACTTATTAATGAAACTTTGCCAGCTTGTAGAGCTCGTCGAGCTGAACACGCCTATACCCCGTTTTGTAGGCAGACGACTAATTGTTTAAAAGATATTAATAATTAAAGTTAGGTACTACTTACATTGAGAAGTATGACAGACTCGCACATACAACTCGCAATCTAGAGATCCACGGTTCAAATCCTTAATTCCCAACATTTTTTTTTTTTTTTTTTTTTAATGATAATTTGTCCCTTTTTGAATAACTATTACATAAAAATTATCATAAAAAATAAAAAATTTTTTGGGAACCAAGGATTTGAACTGAGGACCATCAAGGTCGAAGTGACGGATCTGCTCCGTTAAACGCTTGACTCGCAGTCTAAAGGTCCTCGGTTCAAATCCTGGGAACTGTTTTTTTTTTTTTTTTTTTTTTTTTTTTTTTTAGAATGACAATTATGCTGGAATAGGTATTGAAAAAGGGACAAATTGTCATTGAAAAAAAAAATGTTGGGAACCGAACACTTCAACAGTGGATCTCTGCATTGCGAGCTAGATGTGTGAGTCTGTCATATTTCTGAATGGAAGTGGTAACTAACTTTAGGAAGCCTAAGTTGCGTAGCAATCTATCTTCACTTTTACCTCCGATTGTCTCTCCAAAGTATAAAATGAATACAATCCCTAATTAATTTATTGCTGGATATTTTTATTATCAGTCGAAAACGAGACACGTTGCTACGACGAGCTAGGCTGTTTGAACATAACCAGGAGCTGGTACCACCTCATCCACAGGCCGCTGAATGTGTTCCCTTTACCACGGGAAGTCATCAATACAAGATTCATTTTGTACACGAAGGAAAATCCCACCGAAGTATGTACAGACTATAATTATTCTACTCTAATCTAAAGATATTGATCACTGATGATTCTCAGGAGTAAACAATGAGCGATTGTTGTTTTACATGATAGGATATTTTTAAAGTGGTAGTTAGTAGAATTAATTTAAAACCATCCATTGGGTTTTCCTGTCTGAATGAAGATTCATTTATAGGCAATTAAATATATCTTGTCCGGGACTTCCCCTCTGGGACTTTATGTTCCTCAGTGAAGTATGGTCGGTGATGGGAGATCTTTAGCTTTCTATGAATTTCTGCCTTTTGGTATAGATAAAACGGTGGAAAGTCCTGTCTCAATTATAATAGAATTCCAGAAAATAAAGTTCCTCCTTCATTATCCTGTCAAAGTGAAAGTGGTGGGTGGTTGATGAACAGGTTCCTTGGGCTGAGACAAAACTTTCCCTAAGCCGTTTGTGTCCTTTCGAGAACTCGTGGGACTCTGATCCTGGAAGCCATTAATTAAATTCCGTTCAGAACGAAGGAAATTGTCAGTTGTAAACCTCACATTTTCATTTTAAATGGAGGGCAATGTTTATTACCTAAAATATTTGAGACATCGTTTAATATAAATTTGAAAGAAATTTATTCAACTTATGTAGAAATATCTTCTTTATATTGAAATTTAATCCTGTCTAGCTGTTTATGAGCACGATAGGGGGGAATTTTAATTGATTGCTGAGAAATTTGGAATTTCTTCCTGCCAAACAGGAACTGAATAAATTTAAAAAACGAGTAAGACAGGCTTGTGCGAAATATATGCAAAATTATTTTATTAATTGTGCTGATAGTAGACTAGTGTTATTGGACTTGGATTTCTAGAAGATTCTTAAGTATCAAAATTGTACAAAAGTACAATTTGGAAAAAAGTAATTGATTTTGTTTCAGGGCCAAGTGTTAATAGTCGCCAGAGACAAGTCCATCAAACGATCGAACTTCAGTCCGAAAAAAAAGACGAAATTCATCATACACGGTTTCATAGACACCCCGCTTAGTAATTGGGTCAAGGTAAAAGAATAATTCGTTAAATAATTCAAAGATTCGAGGAATTCCTGATCACAGTCGTAAGACCCCATTAACATACGTGACGTAGTATTACGTCATTTCATAACCTTTAAAATTCCACTTTAGAAATCTATAATCTCTTTCATTATTATTTTCAATCGAATATTAACACTTTGAGGGTCGCATGTCTGCAAAATGACTAATCTCCAATTTGCAATTAATACCTGATGGAGTAGATAAGATTAAACACGACCAGACACTGGCCATCAGAGTGTTAAGATTTACTGTCTCTTTTTCAACTTGACCCAAAACATTTCTATTTGAATAATCACCATAGGAGATGAGGTACGAATTATTGAAACATGACGACTACAATGTCATCGTGGTGGATTGGGCTGGAGGTAGCCTGCCATTGTACACTCAGGCGACTGCCAATACAAGACTGGTGGGCCTTGAAATAGCTCACCTCATCAAACATTTGCAGGTAAAGCAAAATAGGTTACCGGTGAAAAGCTTATGAAAGACTTCGAATCGTACACTTTACTTTGACACGCTTTCGGATCGTTTAGATGCTCCTCTTAACAATGTCTACAGATAGAAAGTAGAACTTCAGGAAACGTTATCTTTCTAATTGGAAGTGTGAAGAGTTGAAAGTATGTCAGGTGAATTTGTAATACGTCGTCATGGCGCTGGACTTAGAGTCGCGACATTAATGTCCTATTGTCATAATATCAAATTAAAGCAAATTTTTCATCGAACATCTTACACTCTTTCATCAGCACATAAATGTAATAATTGAAACGCAGACTAATTATGGGCTGGACCCGAACGACGTGCATCTGATCGGACACAGTTTGGGAGCCCACACAGCAGGATACGCGGGTGAAAAATTGGGCGGGATAATAGGTCGTATAACGGGTTTGGATCCTGCGGAACCCTATTTCCAAGGAATGCCTAGTCACCTAAGACTCGATTACACGGATGCCAAGCTGGTCGATGTCATTCACACGGATGGCAAGAGCATCTTCCTCTTAGGTAAGGGTAACCTGAGCAGTCAGCATGTGGGCGAGTAGTCGGGTTAATAGACCTTGCTACTACCTGGGATGAGGAAGACAGCTTGTCTGATAGGCTCTGTTTCTTATCCCAAGGTAGTGGCCTATCGCCGCCAGATGGATCATCCGTAATACCAACTTTCTCGCAAGTCCTTATCTAACTATCCATCCAACATTTTACATTTTGCCATATTAAATGCAAGATTAACTGATCAGCATCGCTTAATTGTCTCAATGGAACAAAGCATTGATCTTATACCCCACTGCATCATTCATTTCAAACTAACTTATTACACAATAAGGACTTCCAGGGTACGGAATGAGTCAGCCGTGCGGCCATTTGGACTTCTACCCAAACAACGGGAAGGAACAGCCAGGATGCACGGATCTGAGCGAAACCACACCGTCCTTACCCTTGACGCTCATAAAAGAGGGTCTGGAAGAGGCATCCCGGGTGTTGGTGGCTTGCAATCACGTGCGTGCCATAAAACTGTTCATCGAAAGCATCAACTCGAAGTGCCAATACGTGGCACACGAGTGTTCCAGCTATGCTAGTTTCCTCAAGGGGGAGTGTTTCTCCTGCAAGAGTAACAATAGCCTCAGCTGCGGTGTCATGGGGTACCATGCGGACACTAGTCCTGCGCTGGTCAGAAGGCAGGCCATGGGGCAGGACGTTCTGTCACTATTGGGGTCGAAGTTCTTCTTCACCACTGGCAAAGAAGACCCTTATTGCAGTAAGTACATATTAAAAACAGGGCGTTTGCACATTCAACCCAACTGAAACCTTGAGGCATCATACTGGGGATAGGTACCTGCCTTCCAGATGGAAACTGAGGGCACTTTGTATCATATCTTTGATTCCGATGCTATGAAATGATAATTTTGAGTGTTATCTTTAATTTAGAACCTTAGAAACATAAAACAGTTGAGATTTGAAGTCACAGCAGGCGTACCTAGGGCAGTCCCCCAGGGAGCAGCTACATTCTTGTGTCCTCCATGGTGGGACAATACCATCTGCTGCTTTTACGCTTTAGAAACTGTAACATACTTGGAAAATACTAATTTTAAATTAATCTTTTTAGGAAGGCACTACAGAATTACCATCAATCTTGCCCGACCACCGACTGCAGAGAGCTGGGTGCAGGGCTTCATGAAAGTTACTCTGTATGCTGAAAATGGGATAATAAGAGACGTCGATCTTACTCCTAGGTGATTTTCATCTAATAATCTTAAATAAATATCATTTATGTTGGCTTTATTTGGAATGAAATGTTGCCTCGCATTTGAAAGTGGCATCACATTCTTGCTGGAGAAAAGTAAAACTTCTATTAAACGCACGTCGACGGAATATGAAACTTTCGAAAAGATAAATTTTACTGCTTCTTTCACCCACAACTGCAGCGGATACATGAAACTGGAACACGGATCGACGGTACGAATGGTGGTCGCTGCCGGACCATCTGGTGAAATTGGAAAAATCAAACGGGTTGAACTTTCATGGGCCTACGACATGGACGTGCTACAGCCACGATCGTTGTGCTTCTTTTGGTGCAACGACCGTCTCTACGTGAACAGTGTCACTGTGGACGTTATGGAGCTTCCAGGCAGAGGGTAAGTTAATTCCATCTTGCTGCACTTCATTGATACTTGAAGCCCTATCATTAAATTAAAATTTTAATTCTCCACATTAAATGTAATACATATTTAAAGGAAATAATTCAAATCATCACCATTGTTTTATGTAAAAAATATATATTTCCTTTGCAAAATTACAGATTACTTAATGGTAAATATGCTTTATTCCATATCATTCTCTTTGGTATTAGCAGTTTACAAAATATTTGGAAATATTTCCTTTACATTTACTTACCCTGTTTGTCTGTACAGAAAAAGAGAAGCAGACTTCACCAGCAAACTTTGCTCTGCTAGCAGGCACGAATATGCAGAGATTGCTAGTGGTTCCACAGCAGCCTTTGTTGACAACTGCTGACATTATCTTCAATTCATTTGAAGGATTTCTGATTACACTGTGATCAGTCTGAAGTTTGTGATAGTGTTCCTGTGAAGGGTATGACAATTGAAATATAAATGATTTTCTTTTCAGTAATATTAAATTAGAACTAATTTAAGCGAAACAATCATGTTCATAGTACAGAAGTATTGAACATGACTTTAAAAAACAATACACTGTACTTTGGTAATAGTTTATTTAAAAAAAAAAAAAGAAAAAAGAAAAACATTCATGTAACAGAAACATATGCTAAGTTCAAAGAACACAATGCACAAGTTACAGGTAAAAAAACAAATCATAAACAGCAATACTTATCTTTTAAAAGCAAAATATCGATGGAATTATTTTCACATATCACAAAAAACTGTACAAACATAATTGAAAAAAAAGTATTGTGTTTACAAGAAATTTTTCTTTTACAAAAATCATTGCCTCATTCAGGAATTCACACTTTTGTTTCCTGTAAAGTGCATTGAAGATTGTTAGTCAAATCAATTTGAAAATATGTAATGTATGAAATCGGCACGTATTTGCAGCAGTATTAAATACGATTGATTTACTTTGTACATCTTGTATATATATATACACACACATATATATATATAAATATAAATTCGATAGTGTTAACTAGATAATGCTAGGGTTAGTACAAAGCAGGTATCTTTTGCGAGTGATCATCGACGGTTTCTAGTAGAAATTGTTAAAACGCAAAAACTTTTGGTTCAATTGTGAACTGTGCGTATCTACGTCCATCTTTTATACAATATTTACAGGAAAGTTCATTACCGTCCGTTGTGACATAAATATAGCGAGAATCGTTTGTGATATTTTTCCTTTTTTTTTTCTTCTCTCTTTATAATTTAAAATAATACATACTTTACTGGTAACTTTAATTGTACAAACCAAGGATAAGAGGGCAACTATAAATGTTACGAACGTATCTCGTACTGTGTTAATGTTTCTAACGTTAGAAACAAGTTTTTATAAATATATTGATTGTAAAATATAAACTTGTTATGCCATACAACTATATATTGTTGTGATTAACAGTTACACCACTCATATCGTGAAAATATATTTTTTAACTAAAGGTATGTTTTCAAAGGCTGCAGGAAAAGAAACACACTTGTACAGCTTGCTAATCTTTTGCAATGTTTACTCCTCGATAAAACGTTATACACGTCAATTCGTCGCTTATACAAAAAGATCATCGCGGAGTGCAGCTATACACGGTAACACATGGAGTTGTTTTTTTTTTTTTTCCTTTTTATTTTACACGAGATTCAACAATGATCGAGTAAAAAAGCCGTCCGCGTTTTAATCAACGCGGTAACAAGGGTTGGTAAAATATATAATATGAATATATAGCGATGTACATAATATAATCTAATAATCTCTATCTTTTATAACATATAATCTGCGTATATATAAATAATAAATAGGAAAACGAGGAAATCGAGACTGGTTGATTTTCAAGACTTTTACGAGACTTTAGCACTAAATTTACCATTTACGAGACATTCATTGGGGCATTGTGATAAAAATAAAGATTAAAAAAGAGAGAGAGAGAAAGATAGTGAAAGATAATAGAGAACAGTGAAATAACTAACAATACATGTGAATATACAGCTGATTCATTTGGCATAGTAGTCTAGAGCGTTCTTTCTTCTAGCGCGCAATAGAATGGTCAGTGAAGATCATCGACCCAAGCAGTTTCTAACGACTCGATAAGAGTACGAACAAAAGCCATTTCTTTTCGTGCATTTTCCAAGATCACGCGAGGATCTTGAGAAGTACACCGTAATATATTTGGTGCCATAACCATTGCTAAATTGTTCGCATCCATTTTAGTACGGGCTACCACCTCTGGCCTAGCAAATATCTGAAATAAATATATATATTCTTTTTTAATTATTCAGATTTCACTTTCGTTTTAAAGTGAGGGTCTTATCTAATTTTCTTTCAATTCTCTTACACACTCTATTTTGATATCCCTGTGAAAAAAAGTTAGGTTAAACTGTTTTTGTAAAATACAAATATTTACCTGAAGAAATCTTATTAGATGACAAAGAACTCGTCGATTCAAATCAGGCAGTCGATCTACAAGCGCGGCAACGTTAACTGCTGAAGCTTCAACATCGTCGTGCCTCATCGACACGCACTCCGTATAAAAGGAATCAGGTATTAACGGTTCATAAAGCTCTCGAACCCATAATTTCAATAAAGAAGCAGGTGCGTGAGCATCTTGCGAAGCTGGCGAATTGTCATCCTCGAACCTATCTAAGTACGACTTTAAAATACTAACTTCATCCGCATCAGCGGATACCCTAAATATACCCTCAGTCAGGATACCACCTCGTGCCAACACTTGACGGGTCAACGTAGTTTGTATCCATGGTAACTCTCGGTTAGGAAATCTGTCTCTTTGAAGAGCCATCACTTCTGAAAGCGTAGCTCCGAACATAGATGCTCGGAATATCTGGATCTATAAATATAAAATCAAGGAATTAAGGTTAATGGAATATCTGATGGAAGATAAAGTGATGAACATACTCTTGCTTGAACGATATCCTCTATGGTAGCTTTGCGTGGCTGTCGTTTGCCATGCGCTCCGATTCGTTGTAGACGACGACAGGCAACAGTTGCGTAGTGACTAACTTGTACATGAATCGGCCATTTGGCTACCTCGGAGAATTGAAAATTCGAATCACGATGCCTGTTCATGTACCCCTCGAGGTAAGGCTCGAACGTGGCGCTGGGCGGCACGAATGCCAGGCATACAGCCATCAATTCCCAACCTCTACGCAAACTTTCCTTCCGTGGATTCTCCGTAGTCTGTCGGCAAATCTGAACGTACAATTCGTCCCGCAACGGTGGCTTCGAGAATGCGGTATTCACGATATCCATAGCCACACTGTCCAACGTCATTTCTACGTTCGCCTTCCGGTCACCCATGTACACTTGCACCAATCTGAACAAATTACAGGCCTCCCGTTTCAGTAACTTTTCACCGTCGACTACCACCAGCATCGGCTGCGGTATCGGATCTTTAGACCAGCTAAGAATGTCTCGGACGCTGAACTTTTTCCGAAACAACAATCTCAGCCCCTTCGGCCTTCCGCAATTCAAGTTAAGATTGTCCTGTGCGTATTTCTCTATATCACCGCCCCCCGCGCTGTCGTCCCGTCTCGCCTCGTCTATGTCGGTGTTATCAACGCCGGTACCAACACTAGGAACAGAAGTAATAGTAGTAGGTGCTGGAAGCGGTGGTTGCCTCGCCGTTGTCACGCTCTCTCGTATTTCCGCTTGCGATGCGATTATGGGCGGCGAGGGCGGTCGTACTTGCGGCCTTGTCAACGTGTCCGCTGTGTTGTAATACGTGGCCAAGCCTGCGGTATCGTAGTTACCTAAATCTGTGATAACAGATACGTTACATCAACGTATGACGATGCATAACATGGTTATTTAATAACTAACCAGCGTAATGATCTTCTAGGTACTCCTGACTAGAAGAGTCACCTTGGTTACTCGCTGCTTCATCATCCGCAAACTGATCGTCAGAATCATCGTCAGCTCTCCCACCGATTCCTTCACCTCTTCCACCTTCCTCGTCCAAGGAATCATCGCCTTCCTCTACTAACAAAGGATCTCCAAACTTGTAACAACCTGAGGGAACAAGGAAGAAATCTTTAATGTAATGGGATATTTGTTTAAAGAATTATTAATAGCATACCTGAGAGTTTTGCTTGCTGAAGAATATAATGCTGAAGTGGCAGCAAGTGATCCGCGTCGGATAACAGATTTCCATAAAACGGAGAAGGAGGTGGACTCGGATTACCATTACTTCTCTTCTTTTTACTGTCATCGCCTTCCGTAAGCCCCTCCGTTTCCTCTCCTACGGCACTATTACTGCTACTGTTACTGCTATTGCTACTACTAGTATTACTACTAAGCCTTTGTCTAGGTTGCTCGTGGCTTTGACTTATTAAATAACGCTCGTGCATGGAATCGTCGTCCCTGTCCCTTCTTCTCGATTGCTGCTGCTGCTGTTGATGGAGCTGCTGTAATTTCTGCTGTTGCTTTTGCTGCTGAACGAAACTGTAACTGCGAGCCAGTGGCTGTGACACGCCTTAACAGAAAATTAAATTGTGAAAAACATGTTCAATTTTTGAAGATGAGGTTTACTTACAATCCAAGGAATTATTGCACGCTGTATTTCTTCTGTATTCTTTTTCTCTGTCGCGTTCTCGTTCACGCTCTCTTTCTCTTTCGCGTTCACGCTCTCTTTCTCTTTCTCGCTCACGTTCTCGTTCACGTTCCCTTTCCTTTTCTCGTTCACGTTCACGTTCACGTTCACGTTCTCTTTCTCGTTCCACAACCTCTATGCTTCTTTGCTTCGATGCATTGCTTAGGACACTCGCACCTCTGACAAGGCTTTTAGACGGTTCGTTTCTTTCGGCTAACATCGCACCGTACATATCTCTAACGTTCGCTTCGGAAAGCGACACCGAGCATCCGTGATGCCTTCTTCCTATACTACCGGTATTATCTTGCTTATTCATATTACGTGGATGCATGGAACTTGGATAAAAGGCTGAAGTGTTTGTTTTGTCCAAACTATTTACTCTCTCTCTATGATGCATCTCTCTTTCTCTATCTCTATGATAACGATTACTACTTTCCACCAACGAGCCATACTTCTCACCCTGTGATTTGTAACTATGGCTCAATTGAACTTCCGGCGGACGGTAAGGAGGCATTTCTTGTCTAAATATTCTAGATTCCATCAACGAATCACGATATGGCGATGTACTTGGTTCAGGACCGTACGAACCTCTACTGCTTTCTCTACCTGTGATATTGAAATTATAAAAATAATTAAATCAACTTATTTTAATCTTATCCCATATGCAAGCAAGCGTACTGTGAAACTGATGTTCTTATGAAATTTAACTCACATTCTTACCATTTTTATTCTTTTCCAACTCTAAGTTCCCTGTCCTACTTTCGCGTTGCGTGTCAACAAATGATTTCTTCTTAAAAATAGGAGTACTAGTGGAGAGGGACAAACCTAAGGGTGGCGGTTCGCCCAACGGTACCGACTTCTGATTTTTTACACTTTCCAACGTTCCACTCTTGTGCCCTCTAGCTTCCAATGTACCGCTGTGTTGCCTGGGCGATGATTGTGCTTGACCCGGTACCTGGCCACCGGGTCGGTGATGGTGCCGGTGCGGTGAGTCCAATAACCGATATCCAGTCGACTCCAAAGACGTTCGACTATGAGAAACAGAACTATCACTAGAACGTCCAGAATCCTGGGAATGATTGTGCTGACGTCGTGCTGTTGGCACTTCGTGATGCCTATGATGCCTGTTATTATGATGATGATGGTGATGGTGATGCCGTCTCGAAGATGGAGATGGTGATGGAGGAGATGTCTGAAGATCCACACCGACACTGGATGTTCTCGTTTTATTTACATTACCACTTTGCTATAACGAAAGTTTTGTCACCATGTTTCCATGACCCCAATATACGTGACGTTTTTAAAGCGTTAAACTTACCAACGAAGAAGATAAATTGGAATTTTCTTGATGATTAAATCGCGTTAATCTACTAATGGAAGGAGTTTGCGTCTGAGTTGATACGGATTCTTTCCTTCTCGGCTCGCCTGATTTTTGGCTATCTATTCCACTACTACTGGCTGGCTCTGTATTTTGTTTCAATGTCTACAATGGATTCAATATATTGCAAATATTAGAAAGATTTTTATAATAAATATGCTTAAACGTGATTATACTTCCAACATGATACTGTTACTAAAAAGTAGAAATTTTATTTTATATAATATGTATGATAAATTATGTAAATACTGTCATTTGTGCAAACCCATCATATTTTGCAATGTTAAGTAATTTTCATGCTTCTGCTATGGTATAATGTAAACCAGAGTTTTTTCTCCTAGCTACAAACGTCTATTTATAGACATCAGGAGAGCAGACTGCTTGCACACTTATACCTCCAACATATTCTACAGAGTGACTGCATTAATGTGTGATAGTGCAGAAAAATTTGCAAATTGTTTTATTATGTTCATGTGTATGATTGAGGAAATGGCTTTATTAAGTCAAATATTTTATTCAGTAAATGTAATTGATTTTATGATTATCTGTAGTATCAAATATTTGTGACCCACCTACTTTTTAGTACAGTATCATAAATACCTAGAACACCATATCATATTCTGCCAAATCTGTTATCAGACAAAATGAATCACTCACCTGAAGCTTTGCTAAAGGTATGATGTCACAATCACTTGGGCGGTGCCATACAGTTTTTTGGGAAGTTGCATTATAATAATAAAACCTTGAAGTATTTTGATCAAACAACTCCCACCATTGATTGTTATCTGTCTTTTTCCTGTAATTAAAAGCACAGCAGTGAGTATGATTAGACAATCTGTTAAATGAATAGAAATATTTAATAAAACTTTTAATAAGGAAGAGAAAATAAAATATACATTTAAATTCAAAACATGTGCTGAAATAGAAATCATACTGATTATTAATGCTTCCTATACCATAGAAAGAATACCTTATATGCTGATAACTTTCACCAAACTAATTAGATCAGAAAGACAACCTAATTCTACATAAGTAATTAATCTTCTTTATGAGAAAGTTATCACATTTTTACTAAAGAAATATATGTATCTTACACTGGTACACCAGGTGGAGGATCCCATACGCATTCTCCGGTTGTAAGATTGGCATACATATGCTCCTTGGTACGAGGTTCTATAATTTCCACCCATTCCATCCTACTGTAATTATATACATTTAATTAATTCCTTATACTTCAAAAATACATATTATTCAGGCATATACAAGAATTATTTGAACAGCTTTATCATGCTTGAATGTTTGCTTAAAAAAGAAATCAGATAAAACATCAATAAAAGTGTTAAAATTAACACTGCTAAGAAATAACGATATTTAAATTTAATAAAGCACCTTACATATATATATTAAATCATTAAAGGATGTGGGGTGCAGGGACGATAAATTTGTTGCTTCTTTTTATTACTATAATTAAAAATTCTAAAAATACTGCAATGAAATGAAAATGTGTAGCTAGTAGGGAAATGTTTAAATAAAAAGTAGAATAATGTGAAATTGAAGATGACAGCTTCTCCAAATTAAAGGAGAAATAAAAACAGATCAATTGTAAGTTATAAATAATTAATCAATAGCATTCTGCCAAATCTGCGACAATACCAAGCACGACGAAAGCGCTTCTATATAACAAATAATTTCAAGGAGAATTTAGGAAACTGAAAAAGAAAATCGTCATTGGAAAAACAAAAGGGGAAAGAACATTTGAAATTAAGCGAAATTTCGTCATAATAAATGGGTGTTCGCCCCTCCCGCCCCCATAACCATAAATTGATAGGAATGCTGGCTGCAATACGAACAACCGTCTGATGTCATGCTATCCGTTTAATTGACTGAAATAGGCAGTAGAAATCCATTCTACATAGTTGTATACAAGAGAATAAGAAAAAACGAAAGTAACGAATGACGGAGAGGAAAAGGAGGGACATGTCTTCGACAATGTATACGGAGTGTAAATACGAAAGAATTTCAGCAAACAAGACCCACCCAGTTTAGACGATAAGTAGTGAAAATAAGAGAAACACAATAGTGTTTAGTGGAAATATGACGAGACTCTCTCCTAAGGAAACTGGGACGGGTCACTGGGAAAAAAATTCACTATCGATCCGCGAAACATAGCCACTATACACTCCGCTGTATTTCCATTTCCCTAGAATCGAGCGAATTTCATTCTTACCCATCGGATGCCATTTCGGAGAATTAATCCGCTATTCGAACAAAACAAAAACACTTAACGTCACTCCGTGAACACTTTGTGACACTTGACGAGCACGACGGTGACACTTGGATGTCGCCAACGTCCCATTTCCACGAGCACGAGCGACGCAGCCTCTTCATGGCAGCCCACCGGCGGCCATCTTTTTTTCTTCTCTTCATTTTATCGTTCTACCACTATACAGACCTAAAACTTACTTTATCCTAGATATCGAGTATATCCAAAAATGCATTTGCATATTCGTCTGTTCTAATGTTCCCTCGTCGGTAAGTTATTGCAACGTGTAACCGTAATTGAATTTCGCGCACAAATAACATGTTTGATGAGTTACATACTTCTTTTTTTTTTGGGTTACGATACCTTTCCGAGTTAAAATTGAAACCAGTATTGATTGATCGTTCGGATGGTCTATATCGTGCAAGAAGTATCATTAAGTACTGTCTGTAGGAATTGACGATGCTTGATAGTTGATATTTTTATTTATAAAACTATTATCTTAGTTATGATAACGCACATGTTGCGATGTTAAGATTAGGAATGCAGTCGGCCTTATCATTTTCTATTTATTTATCTATAATTTTATTATTAATACAATTTTTAACTTGTTATATGAATTTGTTATGAATAATAATATATTTTATACGAGAAGTGTAAGTGTAGAAGTTATTCAACACCTGATAAGCAAATGTCAAATGACATCCTCAAATAAACATTTTTATTTTTACTTGTCTTCAATATTTGGGTTATTTATAATTATTGTATATATTCTATTAAAGTTGATACACCAGTTATTTGTTTTCCTTCTTTAAATGATACCAGCTAACAATACAAATTTTATTTTATAAACATTTTTTAAAAACAAATAGAAACGACATCTGTACCATTTTGTGATAACTAATAATTGTTTTGACATTTTTCTTTTATTGCTTAGGTCACTGTAGATTAACGGTGCATCGTAATTTGTGTTTCATGGATTGCAAAAATGCATGAGATCATTCATTAGACTTGAATGACGTTTTATTTTAGGTAAGCTTTACAAAATCATTCCAGTGAAATTAAACAATGAAGATATCAATTTGTAACCTTTTTTATGTATAAACAATTTCTATCGTTTTGCAAATAAAGTTTGTTAATGTTTTTTTTTGTTTTTGTTGTTCAATATTTACCATCATGATTAAACTGAATAATAATGTGATTTACAATAATGTGTTATAGATATTTAATGTAAATAAAGTATTGTATATTTCCTTTATTTAATTTTTAACAATTTTCATTTGTTGTGGTTTTTATATTATGATCAGAGTAGTTCTATTGCAGTACATGTTTTATGATCAATTTTATAAACAATAAGTATTCAGTACCATATTATTAATAGAACTGATTTTTAAATTTTCTTACACTATAATAAAGTGTAACTAATAAATTTCTCTATAGAGACATAAAGGGAGTATTTAAAAGTTACATAATATTTGTACCAAATCCCATAATATAATAAAGATGGATATGGATCAGGATGTATTAACAGTGTTGAAGCTGTTAATGATAGGGGAATCCAATGTTGGAAAATCAAGGTACGTAAAACTAATTCACTTGTCTAAAAATATAAAATGAATTTATTTGTTCATACTGTAATCTTTGTTATTAGCATAATCCTCAGATTTACAGAGGATGAATTTTATGAGAACATGCAAAGTACAGTTGGCATGGACTATAAAACTAAACAAGTTACAATCGATGGCAATACAGTGAAATTGGCAATTTGGGTTAGTTAATTTATCTTATTAATAACATTGATATTTTACTTGCAAGCTAATAATGTTCAATTTTTATAGGACACTGCTGGACAGGAACGTTTTCGTACTCTGACACCTAGTTATTATAGAGATGGTCAAGGTGCTATATTGGTGTACGATGTTACAGATAGGGTTACTTTTGTGAAATTAGAAACATGGCTTAACGAATTAAATACATACTGCAATAAAACAGACATTGTTAAAATGGTAGTAGGTAACAAAATAGATTTACCAAATAGAGAAGTAAGCACTGAGGAAGGCCTACAATTTGCAAGAAGGCATCAAACTCTATACATTGAGAGCAGTGCCAAAACTGCAGATGGGATTAAATGTTGTTTTGAAGAGCTTGTACAAAAGGTATATGATTTATTTGTTTTCAAATGATTATTTGTAACATGGTAATGTTCTTTGCAGATAATACAAACGCCAGGCCTCTGGGATAGACAACCTTTTCTTAAAGCATATGGCAATGGAAGCATGGGAGGAGCAAGACACAGAGGTCAAAGAGGGATACAATTAGCAAATGACTCTCAACCACACGAACCATACTCAAATTGCTATTGTAGTCTGGTTTAGCTGATCATAATATAAAATTCAGATGGTGATAATTACAAGGAAGCCATACCTTAAATGTGGTCTAAACTCTATTTGAAAACTAGATACCTAAGTGTGAGAATTTCGACGACAGATGTGTTTAATGATACTTTGTGTATGTTGTGGAAAGAAATGTTTCATACATGTATCAAAGATACATACATATGAGTTTGCTTATAACTTTTAATTCTTTGTTAAATAATTGAATTTTATATAGGTATTTGTAATACCAATTTATATTCATGTAAATATATTATGCATATCTACATAATTTAATGATTAATAAATATCGATAGAACGATAACAGGCAAACATGATATCTTCAACTCCTATAAATTCAGTTTTGTATAAGTAATTGCAACATCAGAAATGGAGCCATTTAAATTCTTAAATTATTAAATCATTCATAATAATTTGCACAATTAGTAATGTAATGCGTATATACATGTATCATAATGTAATATCTATTAATTTAGTGTTTTATTCTTACATATATTTATATGTTAAAGAACAATATGAAGTGAAATAACGAAATGATCCCATCAATTGAAATTATTTTAATGTATCCATTTGTAAATAAAATATTTAAATTTTTCTGCAATTAGATCATTCTTTTGTGGCTCGTTCATATCGTTAATTATACTTCTACATATTGAGTGATTTTATCGTTGTGTATATTTGTGTTTTTATGATGAAAACAGTTGCCTGTTAGAATATTTGACTTTAAACAATTACATATTTATCATGTAGGTATTTCATTTTGAAAATTAATTCTATTTGTACAATATGAAACAAATTGCTACAACAGTCCATGAAGGAATTAATAAATATTCAAAACGTGAAGGGTAAAACCATCAACATTATAATTAATTTCAAGTCTATCTACTAAATTTAAAATGTATGATATCTCTTCTATTTAGAACTGATTCAATAATATCATTGTCAACATCGTCGTCTACATCATCTTCATTACCATCAAGAGAAACACTTAATAGATCTAGCTTAGATTTGATTCTGACAAATAGAGGTGTTCAATTATATGGAACATGGAGCAAAACCAAATTACTCACATTTCTTACAGATAGACTTAAACAATGTATTCATGTACACAGAAACTTTCCTTATGATGCTATCAATAATGAACGATTACAGATGACTATTTCCAGTGGTTTATATAGCACTTCTGTTTTAAAGAAATTAGAAGAAAATGGTATTTTTGCTTAGAATTAATCTGTATAATAAATTAAAGACAAATTAATTTTTAGGAATGTCTATGTATAGCATCCTGAAAGCAATGAAACTTGGACTTATTAGCCTGAACTGTTGTGAACTTAATTGTTTTAAAGATTTCAATGTAGTATCATATATATTGGAATTCAAAGAAATGTGGTCAAAGAAATTTAACGATGAATTGATTTTAAATCTAAAACCTATGGGTTTTACAGAATCAGAATGTTGGAATATTATTGTACATGGAATAATGTTTCAAAATTTAAATATTCTTTATCGTTTAACATTAAGTGGTATCGATGTTCCTGGAATTTTAAACTGGCATTCTGTTATTAATTTGACATCTCCAGAAATAATACAGTTTTTGAAACATATTGGAATAGCAAAAGACATTATACAACTGGTAAAAAAGTATGGAATCACTGAAGAAACTGAACAAATGTTAATTGATATAGGATTTGATGAAATGAAAGAACAGTTATCAAATATGGAGGTTTGAACATAATTAATATAAACTTCTTTTATTCACTTTTATAAAACATTTATATGTATGTAGGAGGTAGTATGTGATTATAAATTAACTGTTATGGAATCAAGTACTAGCAGTTTAGAAAAATTACAAGACACTTGTAAAACGACTGATTTGAAAAGTACTTCTAGTTCTACAGATACATCAAATTATTTTCAACAATACGCTTGTCTATGTCATCTTCTAGCCGAAAATAAAACAGTAGCTGAATTAACTGCACAACGAAATGATTATTTAAGGTAAAGTAACTTAATTTCTTACATGGCTGTGCTTTTAATATCACTCTTATCCTGTGATTTTTTTATAAATACAGACAAAATATCATGGTTCCATTATCATGGGCAATGGCTAAAACTTTAGAATTTAAACCAACAGATCCATTACATTATACCGCATATCAATTATTACGTTGGGCACATAATGTTAGCGAGACTGAGAAGAATGCTCTTCAACAATTAATTGCATTAGCTACCATAGAAATGGACCGGAAACTTACAGTAAGCATTATTCATAATACTTCTGAATACTTAAAAAATAACGCTTTATTTCCTAAAAAGATGATACAATATTTAATGATATATTGTTATAAAGTATTGTTATATTCAAATAGGAAAAGATACGTTTAGAAGAAGAAGAAGAATTAATTAGAAATCTGAATGAGAAAAATACAAAAAATACTGTTTGCAAAGATTCTAAACAGTTTGAGAAATATGCAAGAAAGTCATTAAAGAAATATGAAACTTGTGAATTTCCTGAAATGTGTAGTTCTTGTAAAATCAACGTATCAAACACCAGTGTTTAATAAAAATTATTACAGTACAGTATTTAATATAAAATTATTTTAAAAATTCATTTATTTTATAAATTGTCTTACACATTTATTTTAAGTTTACTAAAACAGTGCAATCATTTTACAAGAGTATTGCATCGAACAGAATAGAATAAACAATCATTCAATTTATTGTATCATATGAAAAAGAATGTCAAATGGCAGTGATTCTAATTACAGTTCTTCTTAAAAATGACAGTATTGTTAATTTCATAAATATTTTTGTTACATTAATTCTAAAATAAAATGTTATATAAAATTTCGATTATATTTGCTACTGAGGTGTGAATAGTCTTAAATATAATGCGTATACATGAGTCTGATAGCATATGTTGCCCAAACCACATTTAAATTCGTGATGAGTTTTCGATCAGTACTTATATAATACAATAATGAACAATGCGTTTGTTTTACCGAAATTATTTTGTTACAGCTATGAAATGTTCATTTTAATTAAAAATATGATAAATAATACTAATTTTCATGAAATATTCTTTCTTACGGTAAACTAAAATAACAAAGTTTCAAAAACAAAGATATAATGAGTTTATAAACTATTCATGTCATTAGTCTCTATATGTTTATTATAAAAAACACATCAATCATTGAAGCATAAGATCTGTTCTTTTTTTTCTTTTTATAACTGCTTCTAAACTGTTTCTGTACATAGAATATAAAAATGATTTCTGCAGATGTAATGATTCAGGTACTACTGTAATGAATCAATGATATAGATTATTTCGCACATAATAGAGTGATAATTAATAATAAAATTAAAGGCAGTATTTGATAAATTCCATATTCTTTTCCAGCTTCTAGTACTCTTCTTTCATAGATATCAACTATGTTTGTTTCTTTTTTTTTTTCTTTTTGTTAAAGACACAGAGAGTACTTTAATAAAACAGCAACGTATCAAAATATATTTTTGCATCTATTCGTTTGGTCTATATCCTGAGCTATTAACAGAATGGGGTTCCCTATTATGGTAAACTTTCTTTCATACATTAAGTAAAATTGGAAGTACAAAGAGAGTAATTAAGTCTATACTTTATATGGACGTTTTTCACAGTCTATTAATAAACCATTCAGATCTCTTAATCCTTTCTTATACTTGTCTAACTTATTCATCAAACTGGTGATGTATCTTTGTTTTTATAATCTAACCTTTCAGTATAGTAATAATTACGACAAATACAGAAAAAGTATCTGAGTACGCTTATGCGATAATTCGGTAGCATTTAAATTTTATGCGAGTTAAATGCAAAATCAAGTAACTTAAACAGAATACACTTGAAGTTTGTTAATCTTAACTTTTTCTTCCTCAGATTCATCTCGGCAAATCATAAGTGTATGAGATAGACCACAGGTAACAGCAGTAATATACAAACCTTCCAATGCTTTCACTTCCATAGGGGTAGTCGAAGACTTACGCATTTCACCAAAACCCTGTTGATACAAGAAACAATTATTTCAGGAACTTAACAAAATATTCACATTGTATAAAATTATTTACCAATTCACCAAATGTAGGACTAGCACCCCAAGCGATAACCGAGTCATCAGCTGCAACTACTACACTAGTTTGGGAACATCCAACGCATCTTATTTCCCAACCAGACAAATCCTGAATTGGTTTCGGATACATATTCGCTTCTCCTGTACGTTTCGTTTGTCCAAACATTAAGGCTGATCCATGAACGTTAATGGCAATACTATAAGTACTACCACAATGTACAGCTCTTACGCCTCGATTAGGTGGTTCTAAGAACTTAATTAAACGAGGCACTAATTCGTCTCGTTGCTCGTTATGACCCAAACGGCCGATACCACCGAATCCCCAGGAGAATGCACGATTTTTACTGTCGATCGCAACGGTGTGATAGTGTCCACAACTGAAATCTGTAATCTCGACACAATCCAAAGGCGTAACGTGGCCGTCCTTAGCTCTTTCAACGTATAAAACAATTCTCTTAGGCACTTTCTCAAAATGAAACGCCATCTTTGTGTTCGTTATGAAATATTTTCCATCGGTATTGTGGCCGAGTGCTCCATATTCTGGACTTCCGAACGAGTGTAGACCACCTTTAATATCCAAAATCATTGAAAATTCTGCCCCGCATCCTACTTTAACTATAGGAGGACCAGAGTATTTTACTTTAGTAGCAGATACAATGCAGGCATCGGATTTTCCAACCCCGCATTGACCTAATTTATTGTCTCCAGCAGCAAAAACTATACCACGACTGGTTAAAAATAAAGTGTGATTACGACCACATGATGCTGCTATAACCGTATGCCCCTTTAACGATGTCACTTCGGTTGGTTCGTCTCGACGTTTCGTATCACCAACACCTAGTTGACCTTTAAACATTATCGTATAAGAATTTAAATATGAATCATTATTCTTCTATGCGATTAATATTAAGTTAAAAATTTGCTACTACATACAACACGGCTTAACAAATCTTTAAGTTCTTAATATATTTCAACATTTACTTACATCACAACATTTAATTATAAGGATAAGTCTTGTTTACCTTTTATTCATTTACCTTTATCATTTCTACCGAAAGCTAAGCATCTGTTATCTTCTGTAACAATAATACTATGTGAAGCAGCTGGGCCAGAGGCAACTAATCTGACACGAGAGCCATTTAAATTTTTAAACGTATGTGGAGTCCACAAACTACGTCCGACATTTACTTTTACTCCTTTTGGTGGAGCTTTACGACCTGCCATATCCCAATTCGTGAGGCCACACATGAGCAATGTTCCAGGCTTCCCCCATCCTCCCTATAATAAATGTTCATGAACAAATTGTTGAATGAAAAAAACAAGAAATTTTTATTAAAAATATCATCTTTTATTAAATATTTGAATAGTATATACATCATCTAATTTTACCAAAGGCAAATAATTTCAAATTGTTTTTTAAATAAAATTAATCTCATTACTATACAATCTAGCAAATCTAAACAGTTACGCATTAATGTACTATCTTGTTAAGCAAGTTATACAGAAAGACTTAAAACATATGCATGAACTTCATAATACTGTTTTGCAATTACAGAGTATATTAATTACTGAAATAACGGTACACAATCTTCCCTCTTCTGAAATGACTATTACCAGCGTAGGAAATGCATGGCTGAGAGGCCCATCAGCGTCGTAAATACCAACGTTGCTTTTTCATCCCTTCAGACATCAATATACCCTCTACCTGGGATAAATAAGCATGTGAAAAAGATGAAAATAATATCACCTCAGGTGGCGGCAATTCCGGGATAGTGGAGACGTCGGTAAGATCATCTTCGGCAGCGTCCTCACCGTCGGCATTCGAGCCGGTCTCGGCGTCATCAACATCTGAATCGTGTTCACTGGAAATGTCCTCTTCGTCGTATTCAACTTTTCTCGATTTTCCACGGCCTTTTTTAGTCGTCAGACTTTTTCGTTTAGCCGACATATCGATGAATTTTCTATTTCTAAATTTATTTATCGCTTGGAAAATCAATTAAGTAGGACGCGCGAACACAATGACATTTATCGATGTAATGGCGCTGAGACCTGTACTCTCTTCGACAAACGGACAACAAAAACGCAGCCACCTGGCGCTCAAAAATCATAATAAAACCATGCTCCAGTGATAAGTACAAAGCAAACTCAAGTTTATGATTGTAAATCGCCAAGAGCGCGTTCCGTGTTCCATTTATTTCAAGTCTCTGAAACGTGGATATTGAACAGTAATCCCCTCACTACCCGGGAAGATTCAATTCATTTTGTAACAAAGGCTGAAAACACGAGAAATATTTATTTCCTATTGATGATTAACATTTCTTACTAATATGAAATATACCTCTTTATAACCTACTGTCCATTATCTCTATTATTTCTGCGGATAAATGAGGTTAGAGGTGTGTGAGAATTCGACCATTTCGAGGACTTAATACTCGGGTCAAGTTTCCAAAATTTCGAAAATTTGTCCCGACCCGATATTTTTGGATTCTCGCACAATTCTAAAATTCAAAGCACTCATTTAATGTTAATTGAATATTAATATAATTTTTAGTACAATCATAAAGCTAAAATAAGTCAAATATATACCGCAGTTCACCAGAGTCCATAAGTTATGGACCATAACTGCGAAAAGACCAGTTTTCGTTCTTTGCGCTTCTCCAGTGCGCATCTTCGCCCTGATTGGCGATACTCCCAAACGAAGTGGAAAGCGATTAGCAGAGAGCTCGCTGCGTTCCCCCACCATCTTCCAACCTGCGCGTCGCAGTTATGGACTCTGGTGAACTGCGGTATAATCGCGTCATTTTTTTTTTAAGTATAGTATCTAACCTCAACGATTAGGGTCGCCACTTTCGACTTACTTGAAAGCAATGTCATGATTAATTTGCGTTATTCTCTAAATGACGCGATTATTCCGTCCGTTTCGTAAGTTTGCTAGTTTTATATTCGCCTGAAATTTTACAAGTCAGTCACTCGTGCCAATTCAAAGTGTACTTTTAAATCTTAGGAGAGGAACTATTTGAAATACAAATCTTTTTCATAGACCTTGTGAACTTTAATAATGTAATAAAAACATGAAACGATTCATCGGAGCGTTTGTTTTACAGTGATACGTGGTATAAACGAAATGTTAATTTTCATTTGCCAGACACATTTTAATAAATTTGCTTCAACGTGACTCAAGGTATGTAATTGCATTACTATGCATTTCTTTATATTTTCTATTTTTAATCTTTCCTGTGTGATATTTGTAATATAAATATAGGTTAGAGTTTAAATTTATAGTTTTTCAGAATGTTAATATATTTTATTTCATTTTAGATTGCTCTTGTCAAAAATGGAATTCCCAAACTTAGGCGAGCACTGCTCTGAAAAGAGCTGCAATCGATTGGACTTTTTACCTGTAAAATGTGATGCATGTTCAGGAATATTTTGTGCAGAACATATGTCATACACTGACCATAGCTGTCCAAGTGCTTATAAAAAAGATATACAGGTTCCAGTATGTCCTCTTTGCAATACACCAGTACCTACAAAACGTGGAGATCCTCCAGATATAGCAGTCGGACAACATATAGATAATGAATGCCAATCGGAGTTAAGAAAACCTAGGCAAAAAATTTTCTCCAATAGGTGAAACATTATTTTCATTCACGTATTTCCATGTTTCTTAGTTTGAATATTATTATTTTAATATTATTTTATTCCAGATGTTCATCTAAGGGTTGCAAAATCAAAGAAATTGTTCAAATACGTTGTTCCGATTGCGGTAAAAATTTCTGTCTTAAACATAGACATCCGACGGATCACGCGTGTGTAGGCCAAGAAGAAGCTACTCGAAGAAAAAGATTGGATGCGCTCGATAACAATGTGAAAGTAAATAGAAGAAATGGCGAAATATTTAAGACCTATCAGGGTAGTATGAGCGAAGACGAAGCTCTCGCTAGAGCTCTCCAGGCTTCCCTGCAAGAAGAAGATACTGCTAGGCGACGAACTCTCGAAACCGTTCCTTCTGAAAATAGAGATAGGTGTAGACTTTCATAAAATCTTCACACAAATTTTTATAAACGTTGCAAGGTACGTTCTTTAACCGCACAAACATAGAGAAATAATTATACCTTTTAGAGATTTCGATCTTCTGCTTAAAAAACAGTTTAATGCTACTCAATTAGCATATTGAAAAGTCATGACTTACCTTGTAACTTTACCTTTCTATTTCCTCACCTTAAAATACTCTGTTCACATAAACTCTTAGAGATTTCATTATGTACTTCTAGAAATTCTATAGATTTACAGGTGATATACATTACATTATCATTTTAAGTTATTTTTATAGGGTTTGATGAAACCCTCAAAAATGAGGGAGACTTAAATTATTTTTGTTCTTTTTGTTTTAAGTTTGATTTAAAGCATGTTACTGAAAGTACTACTTTTTAATAATAAAGCAAATAGGAAGGGTTCTAAAGGTTGTGCTTGCACAAGGATAATGGTTTTATCAATAAAAGCTAATCATTTTAAAGTTTAAATCATAGTCTAATTAATAAAATAATAATCTGATATTATAAGAAATTGTTAAAAATCCTATAAAATAATTGTAGAAGATTAGCATTTATTGAATTTTACTTTAATACTATAGTAAATTTTATTAGAAGCAAGTAATATAAAAATAATTATAGTTATAAAATTCACAAATATATCCTATACTTATTCTTATTCTATACTTTATTATACTTAATATTGAAGTTAATGTACATACAATATAGCTGACATATCAATGTAACCAGCAATTTACATATTTTATACTTTTTTAACAAGTACGTATAGTAACAGTGTCTACCTTCTTTGTTTTACATTTTCTCTCAATTTCTTCGATTTTTTTAGTATAGCAAATACTTAAAGTATGTGTAGTATTGAAATTATAAATTATTCCATATTTATATAGTATCATATCTAATTCAAATATATGCTCTATTTCTTTAATTATTTAATTTAAAAAACGAATTACATTTTGTTATTTTATTGATTAAGGTTTTAAAAATAACTTTTATCTATTTTTAGAATCACCTATTTATTCAGTTCACTTTAAATTAATATTTGTATTTTTGTTTAAAGAAGTAAGTAGCTCTATTACAAAAAGAAAAATGAACCTTCAAATCAAAAATAGAAATCAAATTTAATTTTTTGTGAAATCAAATTTCATTATTTACAGTAGTCTAAAAAATAATTGTATGTATGCATTTAACTAAGGTATAACATACATGTAATAATTTTACTTTTTATACCAAATGTATAATATATTATAATGGTATCTATGAAACTTCACCCTTTGAATAATATAATATTTACATTGTAAAAACATGGTTTTAATCTTATAGCGATTTGTCTAACTATCAGCAACATTATCTGCCAAACTTGCGTGAAGATTATAAAAAAACGTTAAAAGGCAGCCTCAAAAAAGAGTGCCTTAATAGATAAAGCTTAGTTTTTATTGAAACGTAAATTCAACTTATTAAATAACATAATCAGTTGCTAGGTATAAAAGAACTTTATAAGACAATGTTTATTATCGTTATTAAAAGTTTATATGTTTATCCGCTTCGACAACTCAACAATAATTATACATATATTAAATGCAAAGTTTCCTATCTCTCATATATACAGTTTCTATTTATATTTAAAAACAATTAGAATTGTAATGACTGCAATGATAATTTTAATTATTCAGGAATTTATAAATAAATTTGTATATTTATCTAATAAATATACAATTCATTTAGTTTTAAAGTATTATTTTTTGTCTAATTCAATTATTAACAGGTTGACTAATTATGAGAAAAAAAACCTTGAAAATTTTATCTTTGTTATAATTTATTGTAAATTATAAACATTGAAAAATACACAACTATATTTTTTGCTTCAATATTGAAATGTTTAAGCAATATAATCTTTAAATTATTTACAAATCTTAATTGACTAATAAACGAATTAATAAATTATTCAAATTCATAGAACATTTTGAAGGTTTATGAATTTAATCCTTATTTGAATGCTCTAATATATTTTCCAAAAAACAATTCTGGGAACATGGTATGTGGCAAACAATTATTTTTCATTTATTTTCCAACTTTTCCTAATTTAGTATCTGTTTTAGGATTAGCTGTGATGCTCTGTACACGGACGATCGCCTCGTTAATCTTTGTTTGAAGATTCCTAATGTCTTGAATGTAAAGAAGAGCAAGAATCTTTGCAGCATTCTCCAATGTTGGTTTATTCAATTGGAAACCGGCGTTAATGTCCATTATTGGAAACGGTTTACCTCGTATAATTTTCGAATTTGGATTCCGCAAACATTCAGAATTTAATCTCTTTTGTACTAGTTTACTACAAGCTTTTAATGTAACCAAGTGATTTGGATGTCGCGGAATTCGAAGCAACTTTGCCAGTGCATATGTTCCAGTTTTGAATTCATTGCTGTAAACTAATTGGTATAAAATAATTAAAATTAATAATTCTAGCAATTTGTAAAATGAACTTTGAATTGTATACATATAATACTTACAATCTAGGTTGTCAAGTGGATTTTTTGATCTAAGCTGAGGTACTTTTGCTTCTTCTTTCATTTTCAGTTTCATTTCTTTCACATTTTGTGAGTATTCTTCAACTAAAATGAAATTTACAATTTACTTTTACATAAAATAATTATACTCTTATTCAAATTTTATTTGTAATTATTTACCATTATTTTCTGCCTCTAACCAGATTGCATGTCCAACCAACCATTCAAGCTGATCAAGAGGCTTATTTGAAATTGGACATTTAACATCCTCACAGTATTTGGCAAAAACTTTAGGCCAGTTTTCACTCTGTAAGTTACGCAATGGTTTTCTATCCTCTATAGAATACTGACGTATTTTTTGATCTTCCAACCAAATGACTACTTTACGAAAATGTTGTGGATCTGTAACATTTTTTTAATATAAGTTAGTAATCATTATTCAAACTGACATGTAATTGTATAGAATTTAAGATGCCTTATTTTAAATTATAATATCTTTTATTCACATATTTATACATTTATTATACAAAAAGTTGGACAAATTTATAATTGAGTATTTAATGATAATATAATATACAATATACAAATTTATAGGTTAACTTAGGACACTCAACGAATTACAATTTTACAAATGAAGTAATAGAATTTTTGAATATAACATAAAAAATTACATCATTGCAAATTTTATAACCATATTTAAAACATAAAATGAAATGTTTGATAAACGTTGCCGGTCGTTTTAACCTATAACAATGATTAAGTAACTTTGTTAGAAAAATAACTTGAAACATTTACTAAATATGAAAATTTCAAAGAATTTTTATATAAATTGATATATATAATTATATTAATAATAGTAAATAACAAATACAATTTTATTCTAATTTAGTGTTCACATGTCATGTGAACATATGTAACTATCAGAGAAACGAACCATTTACATTAACTTTTTCCCATTCCACGTAACCAAGAGCTTTCAGTCTTCTTTTAAACATTTTCAATTATCAAAATAAATACAAATTTTATAAATTAAACTTTATACAATTTTTGTCAACTTGGTGGCAGTAGACAGTATACTAGTATACTGACACTACTGAGCTGACAAAATGCAGGACATATATTTATTATTAACTTTCCCTATGTCATTTCCATTTTCAAAACATAAAAAGGGTTGTTAATAAATAACTTATATTTAAAAAAAACTTTCTTCATTGATCTTTTATTCCTTCATTTTATTGAAGGAAAATAGTCTTAATTTTTAAATTCAATATTTACTACGTAATACAATAGTTTATAGTTCAAATTTTTCCCTTATTAAGTACGATAATTATTTATACAATTAAGAACTTATTGAAACAGTAATTTTTTATATAAAAAGCATATAAATTGAAACACCATGTATCTTAGAAAAATACGAAATAATAAGTCAGGATATATTGGAAATATTTTCTACTTTTTATTTAAATCTGTTTGTTTATTTTAATACATCTTTTTGATGATTTAAAATTTGTTTAAATATATTATCATAGTGTTCTATTTTTTGATAGATGGCGATATAAATAATATAGAATTTTTTAAAGTATATTGTCTATACATTATACGTTTAATGAACAGATGGTAAAGCTGAGTTGCGCAGGAGTGTTGCGCAGTCAGTTAAGCACAGTCCACTGGCAAAAGTAGTGGGGCTGCCCAGGAGAAAGATGGCCGCCACCAGCGAGGAATCGAGTGTTATGGAGCCTTCTCAGACGAATTCCGGGCAAAATCAGCCCGTTGATCCTCTTAAGATGCTCTATCCGATGGTAAATGAAGAGGAAACACCGTTGCCACGATCGTGGAGTCCTAAGGACAAGTACAATTACATCGGCCTCTCCCAAAACAATCTTCGTGTTCACTACAAAGGTACGTTTGATCACTCTCGATCTTTCCCAGCTATTTTCTTTGCATCTCAGAATATTCTTGTGGAAGATTTTTAATGTTCTTCGAATGAAAGGATCGAGGAACGATCTTGGCCAATAGGATTCGATTCTTACTCGATATGGACGAATCGTTGACGGAGCTGTAATATCGATTGAAAATGGCAGGGCTCCGTTTCGCGTGTGTCAGCGACCTAAACAAAGGAATCAGCTGATCGGTCATGGTCTCTATTCGACTTTCTCTTGATTACTTATATTTTCGATCGCGTGCCAAGTTTTCCGAAAAATATCGTTTCATCGATCGTGATTTTCCATCAATTTGTCGCAGTCTCAGTGTGATTTTTTTCGAAAATTCGTGGAAAAAATGAATCTGCGTAGAGAAGACGCAATGGCAATGACAGCTGCGATGTTTGAACAGTTACATTTCTCTCTCTCATTTTCTCTATCTTATTCTCTTTCTTCTTCCTCTTTTCCTTCTTCGTTCATCCTTGACCAGTTTCGAAATGAACACATTTTATAGTCAAATATTTAAATTATATGTTTCTTTCAATTTCATAAATTGATATAAGTTGTAGTAATATCAAGGGCAATGTTATTGTTATTATTTTTACACTCTCACTTCCAAAATTAAATGTTAATAATTTTGTATTTAAAAATATACTGTATGGATAGAATATTCAAAATCAAACGTAAAGAATTAAGAAATTGTTGGTAAATGTTAATAACAATAAAATAAAGTAATATTTATGTTGCTATACAATTACTTATTTGTTGTAATTCTAATATAATTACAATTACAATTTTAAAAAATTGCAAATGATTTATCTATGTTAATGTATTTAATTAATGCAAACACTTTTTGTTATAAGGAACATTAAAGTTTGTTAACCTTAATTATTTGTGTTTTTTAATTTATCTTACCTCATATAATAAATTTGAGAGTAATTAATACCAATATCATTTACCTTTTTATAAATTAATATTAATAACATGAAAACATTCTTAATTTGTTATTTTACATCAAAGATTAGTGCATTCAATTTACAATTAAATAATTCAATTTTTTTAACAATAAATGTGATTTATAAATAGAAAAGAACGAGTTGTTATAAGATTTTAATGTCTCTTATTATCAATTTTTAGTATCGAATTTTATGTTGCAAATAATGAAGCATGCTGTATTGATAGATTTTCTTAATACCCTTCAGGCAATAATTAATTATATACCTTTTGTTCTTTAGAATCTTTTCAACAGTATAATTCTTACACTTTTACTAGCGAAACACTATCATGCTTACATTATTTCTTTATCATTATGATAACATGGAAACATATTTTATATCTTCAGATTTATCAGAAATTGTAATCATAATAGATTGTTCTAAATATAAAAATCAAATAGTATATATATAGAAAATTTTCATAGAAAAATGTAAAAGAAAGAGACAAAGGTGTTTACTGTTATTTGTTAATTTTAATTGTGAATGATATCAAATGGTTATTTAATAAAATTCTTACCATTCTTAATCTTTATTATGAGATCTTGTATAGAATGTGCGAGCTACTGTTTACTGTTGTACCATTTAATTACAATCATTAATTGTTCCATTAAATTCATTAACTATACAGCAGTATTTATAATAATATGAGTAGCTTAATGAATTTAATAATGTACTGTAATGAACATCATGTTAATTATTGTAGATGAATATTGTGATTAATTCAACAATGAAAACCGAGTGCGAAATAATAAATAAATAATTCATTGTCATATTATTCTTGTTAACAAGACCACTTGGATATGATAGAATTTAATTGAACGCACATTTGCATACGTGTGGGTACGTTTCCGCGTATCCGTGTTAATCTTAACACTCACTAATTATTACGTTTGGAATTCTTTTTTTTTATGGATGAAATAATTCTTCAAAGTAATTTGTAAAATAAATACATATTCAGTACTATGTAAATGACTTCTGTTAATGATTGTTTTCAGTCATCGTTTCAATTTTTTTAAAATTTTATTTTAAACAATCTGTGCAATTATTAATAAATAATTCATTCGAGTTAGATAGCTAAAAATATCTGCACAGTAAATGAAAATAATTAAATCGTCAGATCGAACGTGTTGTAATTCATTATATAACAATTATTAATAATTTATTATATAAATATTCGCACATTTGTTGTTCTGTCGTTTTAAACCAATAATGTTAAGTATATTGTTAAATTGGAACACGAATTGCAACACGTATATCGGTGTGCTTACAAGATCCGTTAATAATTCATTTATACTTAATTAAATGTGAAATGGCTAACTCTGGGTTACTAGGTCGACAAACTGCATCACTGCATTGAAAGTGCATCCAAGATTAGCGATTAGATTGCGACGAACGATCACTTCTGTTCTCGAATTTCTTTCCTTCAAATTTTATTTACCAATCAAACCATTTCCTCTACCTTTATGCTAAAAAAAATTCCATTTTATATTATATTTATAAGCAGGAAATGTAAAAAATGTTGAGAATTAATTTCCCATTACCTTAATTAATTAATGGTCCAGTAAAATTTTTCCAATAATAACAGTACCATCCAATTCTAATAATACTCAAAAATTAATTTCATTGCTATTAAATTCAATTCTATTTTGCATTAAGATAATTCTTTTCCATTTTCATTATCTCCTATCAAACATCCTGCATACACTGGGAAATCTAACACCAGTTCATGTAATTATACGTCGAGACTAATGAACAATGGTACTTGTCTTCCAGGTTATGGAAAAACCCATAAGGATGCCGCAAGTGTACGTACAACGCACTCAATACCAGCAGCCTGTGGTCTCTATTATTTCGAGGTGAAGATTGTCAGTAAAGGCAGAGACGGTTACATGGGAATCGGTCTCTCTGCCCATGGGGTTAACGTGAACAGGCTGCCAGGGTGGGACAAGCACTCCTACGGTTACCACGGCGACGATGGAAACAGCTTCTGTTCGTCGGGAACGGGACAGCCTTATGGGCCCACGTTCACCACGGGGGACGTGATCGGCTGTGGTGTAAATCTCGTCGATAACACTGCCTTCTACACGAAGAATGGACACCACCTTGGTATCGCATTCACTGATCTTCCGGTACGTGAGCACGAAAGGCAATTTCGTCCACAACGCGAAGACTGTAAATTCTCAATGGAACAAAGAATCCAGAAAGTCCAGTACCATTTTGATGCTTTAATTTTGAGATACAAGGGATGGCAATTGGCTACCTGACTTTCAGGGTACTTTGTCCAGTTCTTAAGAACTGTTTAGACTAATTGTTAGGGAAAAGAAAGAGAGAAATAATCTTGCTGGCAGGTTAATGGTTTACTTACCTTAGCCTGCACAGTCAACAGCTGATCACTTAGCATTATTGAACAATACTACATTAGAGGGATCATGATCCCTTTGACTATGTATCAGCTGTTTCCTCAGTTACCCTGGAAACATGCATCTCTTTTGAGGCATCCTGTATATTAACCGTTTCCCTGTACGACGTACGGACAAAATATTGATCACGAAATCTGTGCGCTTTTGATTACCAAACGAATTCAATTGTTAGAGAATAGTAGAAGGATTGTATTGTTTTTCTTTGGAAGGAATTATAGTATGCAAATTATCATTCATTCAGGGATATAAGAGGGAAAGAGGTGATACTTTGTGCAAAATAGTCAACATTATAAGATAATCTTGTTTTTATTAAAGTTGTATGCAGTATTCGTGTATTTACTTTGTTTTTACATAATTAGTTATCTATCTGTATTTATGTTTTTTCAGCTTTGAATGGTATTATCTGTTTTTCATTAAAATTATGTTTCATTTTTTGTTTGTTCATAATAGTAAATATTTATAATGATTATTTATCGTTTCTTTATAGCCAAATTTATATCCCACGGTGGGTCTCCAAACGCCAGGAGAGGTAGTAGACGCAAACTTTGGACAGGAACCTTTTGTCTTCGACATTGACGACATGCTTAACGAGCTTCGTGTCAAAACAAGATTGCAAATAATAAACTATCCAACACCAGACCATGGACAGGGTCAGTGGCAAGCAGTTCTTCATAAGTAAGTTCAACTTCTTCTTTGATAACTTCCTTCTTAAAATTATATTCTTTAACGTATTTTATGTTTCTGATGATTATTGTTACTTTTTGCAGAATGGTTTCAACATA